TCTCCCAAAGTTTGCGAAAGCTGGCGTCACTGACGTACTTTCGTGAACAGCGCTTCGATATGACAACAAAAACGGTTGTATGTGCCTGTCCCAGTCTCGTTGCCGTTTTTCCACAACTTTTGCTAGGTACCTCTCCAATGTCTGATTAAATCTTTCTACCATTCCATCAGATTGTGGGTGGTAAGAAGTTGTTCGTGTTTTCTGAGTACCCATAACTCGGCAAGTTTCCTGGAATATTTGAGACTCAAAATTCCTTCCTTGATCGCTGTGAATCTCTAAGGGTACTCCAAAACGACAGAAGACTTCAGAACTAGTTTATCTGCAACTGTTGAAGCTTCTTGATTTGGAATAGCGAAGACTTCTGGCCACTTAGTGAAATAATCCATCACAACCATGAAATACTTGTTACCACTTTCAGTTTCTGGAAACGGCCCCGCAACGTCAATGGCTATCTTCTCCCATGGTGCACCAACATTGTACAATTTCAATGCGCCTCTACTACGAATTTGAGGTCCCTTTACAGCCGCACAACTTGTACATTTGCGGCACCAGTCCTCGACATCGTCACGACAGTGGACCCAGTAAAACCGTTCTCGGATCTTCGGGAGAGTTCGTTTAACTCCCAGGTGGCCTCCTGAACAACCACTATGGTACAGCTGTAGAACATCCGGCACTAGCCTTAGGGACAACCATTTGCAAATGACACCTGTCTCCCCGACCATTTTCCCATTAACGGCACAGGACTCCATCCTGAATCAGCAAGCTGTCTCATTGGGCCCAATAACTTTTCGTGGTCGAACTCATTGCTGAGACGTCGCTCCACTTGGGCTTAGGAGCACTGGCCTTCATCCATTCCAGAATCGGCTTAATGTCCGAATCTTCCTGCTATGCATGTTGTAGGCTGTCCTTCCATTCATTGCTGAGCTGTTCTGTCCTGAATATCCTCGCAGATACCACTTCTTTACCCTCTTGCCTAGTACAATGTTTGCAATCTTCAGGGCAAGGTCTTCTTGATAATGCATCTGCATTGCCATGAGATTTCCCGCTGCGATGTTCGATCACAAAGTCGTATTCCTGTAGTAGTTCAATCCATCTCGCAACTTGTCCTTCCGGATTTTTGAACTGCAATAGCCATTTCAGTGCAGCATGGTCAGTTCGTAAGTAGAATTTCCGCCCCAGGAGGTATTTGCTAAAATGCTGCAAGGACTTTACCACAGCAAGCAATTCCCGTCTTGTGACACAATAGTTCCTTTCCGGCTTTGACAACGACTTGCTGAAGTACGCTATCACAATCTCTTGATCACCATTCCGTTGAGACAACACACCGCCAAGTCCTATATCGCTTGCGTCTGTGTCAACTATGAATTCTTTGTAATCAGGGTACCCCAAAATAGGTGTTTTGCACAGACGGTTCTTGAGCTCCTGGAATGCAATATCGCAACTTTCATCCCAGCAGAAATGTCGCTTCTCCTCGGTTAGCTTGTGCAGAGGTTTGGCTATATCTGCAAAGTTCTTCACAAATCGCCGATAATAAGAGCACAAACCCAAAAACGCTCTAACCTGTGTCTTGTCTTTTGGAACCGGCCACTCCTTGACAGCGGCAATTTTCTCTGGATCCGTGCGGATACCTTCTTCCGACACTACATACCCCAAAAAACTAACTTGCCGTTTGAATAGTGAGCACTTCTTTGGGACTCAACTTGAGGTTGGCACTCTGGATCTTCATGAGCACGCGTTCCAGGTTTTGAAGGTGTTCCTCAAACGTACGGCCTACGATGATGATGTCATCCAAATAGACTTTAAATTGCCACAGACCCTTTCCTGTGGAGAATGCAGTTTTCTCCTTCTCCTTAGGGTCAATTTCAACCTGCCAGTAGCCACTTTTCAGATCCAGCGTACTAAACCACTTTAAGCCTGTGTCCAGCGTGTCATCAATTCTTGACAAGGGATAGCTGTCCTTCTTCGTAACGTCGTTCAGGCGGCGGTAGTCAACACAAAACCGCATGCTGCCGTCCTTCTTCTTTACCAGCACCACTGGTGAACACCATGGACTAGATGAAGGTTCAATAACACCATCCTTCACCATTCCCTCAATCATGGTTTCCACTTCCTTTTCACGTGCTACAGGCAATCTTCTTGGCCGCTGACGAATAGGCAATTCTTGTCCTGTGTTTATTTTGTGTTGAACTAAGCCAGTCTTTCCTATGTCAGCTTCGTTTGACGAGAAAACATTGGCGTACTTGAGTAACAACTTTTTCGCTTTGACCGTTTCATTCGGGGAGAGAACGCTGCGACAGTCTTCTAAAAGTGTGGTCACTCTAGTTTGTCCATCCTTGCTGGGGGTCCCAGTCGATAGATATTCGCACCGACGCAACCAATCCACTTCCTCACTAGTACCAACCAATGTGCCTTTTTCTATAATCTGTTCCTGATCACAAAGGTTCAGCACACGTACTCCTGAGATGTCGGCGGTTCTGACCAAGGTTCGAGCCACTTTCCATGGAAGGTCATTGTCTACCCTTTCCACGAGTACACAACGAAGAGTTTCCCCAGGATTCCGTGGAAGTCTAACCGGCACAATCGTTTCCGATCTCGGCGGAAGAACAATCTTCTTAAGGCTGTACACATTCCCTGGTAACGCCCCTTCCACGAAAAGTTCCTCTTGTCCACATTTCAAAACACCTTGCTTAACGTCGATCTCACAACAATTCTTCCTCATAAAGTCTAGGCCCAGGATGCAGTCGTCCATTATATCAGCCACGATGACATTATGCAGGTAGATCATGTTGCCTAGCTTCAACTCCATCTCCTTCTCTCCACGGACGGGTATGCGCTGACTGGTGGCTGTCACCAAATTAATGCGTTCTCGGTTGTATGCGGAGTCCCCAAGGAACCGACTTATAAGTTGGGAACTGACAACCGTGCGAGAGGCTCCAGTGTCTATGGTCAGTTTACACGGCTTTCCGTTGACCTCGCCCTTTATGATTAGGCTGTTCCCATCATGAGTTTGTGAGATCGAAATCCTTGGGGCTCTTTTAACATCAGCCAGCACCCGCCAGTTTCCCTGCTGCTGCTGGGCGGTGCTATTATCCGCACTACCCTCTCGAGATCGATCACCTTCCCTTTCTACAGTTCGCTTAGGGCAGCTGGATCGAAGATGGCCCCTTTCTCCACAGCCGTAGCACTTAGGGCTGTAGCTTTTATTGCGGTCCTGAACTGTAGCTGTTGCAACCTCCCTGACGCGGTGGGAACGATGATCCTGCCGCACGGCTTCCACCTCCAGTGCATGGGTCAAGGCGTCCTTAAGCGTCTCGTGGTGCCCGAGCCTCACAGCAGCTCTGACTTCAAGGTCGCGGATGCCGTCGATGAATGTCTGCACCAAGTTCCCTACAATAAGCGCAGGTACAGACTGGTACGCTTTTCGAACCAGCTTCTCCACCTCAAGAGCCCACTGCTGCAGCTTTTCGTTACTGCGTTGCACGCGATCTTTGAGCTGCGCACGAAAGACGTGTTCCAGGTGAGCGTCGCCATATCTCGCCTCCAATGCCTCAAGGAGCTGCTCGTAAGTCACTTCCTTACCGAGAGCTTCCAGAACAGTTAATGCCTGGTCGCGCAGGCCTAGGGTGAGAGCAGTCATGGCCTGACTTTTATTCCAGCCGTTCGCTTTCATGACAGCCTCGAACTGGATTTTATAGGCCGACCAGGAAGAAGTCCCGTCGAACGGTGGCACTTTGAATCCACGTAGCGAAGGTGTTGTAGCTACCACGGGAGCTGTAACTCCATCCCCAATTTTGAGGTCGTTCAGCGTTTTCTTCACGTCAGCCATCACATTGTCAACCCGATTGTACACTTGGTCGATTCGGGTTTCAGCTTCCGACAGGCGGTTGTCATATTGAGCAACCTTATCCTTCACCTCACTTATTTCTTTCCCGAAGGTAGCGTGAAGGTCCTTCATGAGAAGTATCTGCTCTTCCTTATCGCGTTTGAGCTGCTCTTCCAACCGACGGCCCTGTTCCTCCTGTCGGCGGGCCTGTTCCTCCTGTCGGCGGCCCTGTTCCTCCTGTCGGCGAGCTTGTTCCTGCAGCATCATCATCAGAATACCTAAGTCAGGTGCTGCTGATGCAGGAGCTGCTGACGGGCCGGCCGGCAACTGGCCTGCCGACGTCTGTGACGTTGCACCACCAAATCGTTTCTGGTCCGTCTCCTGTTGGCGTTGACTTCGGGTACGGATACCCTCGGTGTCGTCTTTAGGTAAAATCGGCATATTTGATCCCACTTCTGACACCAATTGTTACGCACTTGGGGTTCGAGACAATTAAAAACTGCCGATTTAATTACCAAAATTGACACTTTAATTACACAACACTAATTACAATCTAAAATCACACTAATAATAAAACACAGTTCGCCGTTATTTCGCTACGAAGTATTCTCTTGTATCGCCAATTCAATACTGCCTCGGTCGTGGTCTATACCGGCCTTATATAGGGCCTCAGATAGTTTCCAGAATCTTCTACTGTAGCGATATCTAGAATGTTCGAGTACATATCGGTCCCGAAATTTCTGGAAGGATCTTGACTCTCCTAGTTCTGCTACTCGACACTAGAGGGCACTAGTGTAACTAGTGTTGCCATGTACAAGACATTAATAGTGGCGCGCAACAATACGTTATTTAGTTATTTTTTTATAAACACATTGTATAAGTATCACAAAATTTCAACCAAACTTAAAAATACAGGATAGCCATTCCATTTCGAAAGTGATGGCAGTTTTTGATACTGGTGGTGGTAGTTGGACAAATAAGTTTAGTAGAACAATAATAATAAATAATAATAATAATTGATTAGACTCTGTTTTACAAATTACATCTGTGCATAGTATTTATTTAATTACAAAACTTAGATTTCAAAGCAGTTAGCTTTAACGGCTATACTAGTATAAACTATGATACAGCCCTGAGTTGTGATGGAGAATGATATTTAGTGTAATAATGGTTGCAGCGATAACAGCCAGTCGTCAGCGCGCGACGGCATGGAGGGTGCGGAGGGCAGCCCGCCCGCCTCGCCGCGCGACGAGCCTGAGGGCACGCCGCAGCGCAGCGCGCACCACCCGCCCGCCGTCTACAACAACGTAGTGAGTGTACACGCACACACGCACGCACACGCATACGTACACGTACACGTACACGTACACGTACACACACGCGTGCGGAGGGCAGCCCGCCCGCCTCGCCGCGCGACGAGCCCGAGGGCACGCCGCAGCGCAGCGCGCACCACCCGCCCGCCGTCTACAACAACGTAGTGAGTGTACACGCACACACGCACGCACACGCATACGTACACGTACACGTACACGTACACACACGCGTGCGGAGGGCAGCCCGCCCGCCTCGCCGCGCGACGAGCCCGAGGGCACGCCGCAGCGCAGCGCGCACCACCCGCCCGCCGTCTACAACAACGTAGTGAGTGTACACGCACACACGCACGCACACGCATACGTACACGTACACGTGCACGCACAAAGTCGTGGATGCTCTCATTGTTGTTTCGACGACTCCGCTGCGCGTGGTTCAACAATGAGTTGCAGCGCAAGGGCCGCGGGTTTCAATCCCAAACGGAACATTTGTATGTCCTGCACATAATTGTTCCGGGTCTGGATGTTTTTCTGGTCTCCTCCATTGATTGCAGAATAGGGGCGATATTTGCAGTAGTTACCACGTTTGGCAGGTGGGTTGCCAACCGGAGTTTTTAACTAGTCGTTTTATTAGGAAAACGCTACTCCCCATTTCCAGATTTGTTTCCCTCTGTCGCATCTTACGACATCCACGGGATGATATGGGGTAGGCGATTTCTTACACGGTAGATTATTGTATAGTCTGTTCGCTAAGATAGTGTCGGTACACCCGGAGGTGCACTTATTATTTTGCTTTTATTTTATTATTTTTTCATGTTTGTTAAATAAATGTTTTTCTATTCTAAGAATAAAATTGAATACTAGTTCATTCTTATGGTTATAGTAATAAAATACGAATATAAATAATAAAAACAAGGTAAGTAGCAAAGAACCTTTCACTACGGCGCTCGTTTCAAAATACAAAATTCTCCGGCGGGTGTACGCCTCATGCGGCGACCTTTAATCTCCTGACCTTTGACAAGATGCGACACGTGCTAAGGCGACACGACACAAAGATAACTGTATCTAAGCGAACAGACTATAGTATATAGTACTCTTATACAGACTATAGTATTATGACAAATATTAGACAAGAACAAAGTCATTGCGCAGGGCTACGGCGCGCCGCGGTCGCCGCGCACGCCGGTGGGGCGCTGCATGGCGCACGACATCGCGCACCGCTTCACCAAGTCCTTCAACATGATCGCCACCTGCGACTACTGCGACAAGCAGATGCTCTTCGGCTCCGGCCTCAAGTGCAAGGAGTGCAAGTTTAAATGTCACAGGTACCACCTCGATCGTCTTCCTCTGCCTTACTTCTTGTATGTGTAGATGTGTTTGTGTATATATGTATTCTTATTTCCAAATAATACCTCTTAATATGCTGATTTCTCCCCCATTCACTTCTATGAATGTTTTTTTTTATTTTTAGCTTCAAGTAATCTGTTTATGTGGTAGAGCCATACTGCATTTATATTATGGTTGTACAAATGGATCAGATTGAACGGGGTATGATCACGCTCTCACAGAATATCAGCGTTAAATAGCAGTTTAATGATGTGTTTCGTGTCGTGTTCTCTTAGAAACGGAAACCCTTTTTGCTGGAAACGAGGCATTCCATCTTAGTCCTCGGGGATGACAATGCTACTGCTTTTGATTCTTAATCGAGGATAAATATAGATATCTATGAGTCAACATCCACTTACCATCTGGTGAACTTTGTGCTCGTATGTTATCCTTATATAAAAAAAATTATATATACTACTCGAGCAGATAAAGAATGGAACTATAAATGGCGTCCCCTCTATTCACTTCTTGCTTGCACACTGTCTCTATCTATACTCACACCCGTCAATAATGGCCACAAATAATCATGCCTTGTGATATGCCTTATTTGTGCTTCTAATTTCAGGTCCAAGTAACAATATATAGCATTTTTTAAAAGTTTTAAAATGCTAGGTTCTATCCTAAGAAACATCAAAAATCCATTTTTAAAAATAACCCTGTTTAACACAATAATTAGAAGTGATCTAGAGTACTGCAGTTCGGCGAGGAATCCCCATTACGAAGTTCACATAAAATATATAGAATTTGTACAAAAACGCTTCCTTTGGCATCTCAGTTATCAGTGCAATCTAGTTAAACGCCTACCACACTATAAAGACCGACTAAGTTACTTTAAATTAAATAGCCTAAAAGAATGCTAGTTAATAGGAAAATCGATTACGCAGAATAATTACAAAAAATTAGATTAAATGCACCGACTAGAACACCTTCAAAATATTCGCCTTTCGTGACAAAATTAGCCAAGAGCAATTTAGGCCATAACTCAATTTTGAACAGAATTCGAGGTCGATATAACTATATCTATATATGTTTCTTTGCACACTATTTATTAAATTTTCCTTTTTTTTTCTTTGTAACCGTATTTTATATTATGTAATTTTATCATAAATAGGTACAATTAGCAAGCCCACGATGCATGCCTTGGTAACCTATAATTAAGACAACATTTAGTTTTTAATCCTAGAATATAAGTATTGTAACATAACAAATAATTCCAATTGTAATTCCGGTTATAGTTCCAGTATAAGACATAATTATCGTTGGTTATCCTTAATAAAATAAAATAAAAATGTAGATGCGTTGTCTCCCCTGAGGACTAAGGTGGAATGACTCGTGCCTCGTAACCAATAAAGATGATCTCCGTATAAAACAACATTATTCTGTGGTTTCACGCTGGTATTCTGTGAAAGCGTGGTTCTACCCCGGTCGGGCCGACTCACTTGGACCATATTGAACTAAAATAAAACAGGTTCAAAAACGGATTAGGTATTATGTTAGCTTTTACGGAAAACGGGGTGTATCGTTTCCCTTATATTTCTTTATCGCTTTTACTTACTTTATAACGTAGTAAAGGGTGGGGTGAGGAGAGATGAGGTAATTTATAGATACAGTATCTGTTTATTTTGTTGTTATAGATGGGCTATGCATCTATGATTAAAGAAATAGTGTAAAGAATTGTGTATGTTTATTGAGAACTGTGACCTTCGTTTTCTGTGTCTCATTTTACTTTATAAGCATAGAACATTTTAATACAAAGTCAAAGACTTAGTATACAGTTGGATATTTGGTTAGATATACTCATACACATAGAATTTTTCCAATATTAACACTTTAAATATCTTTCCTTTCAGAGACTGCGAAAGTAAAGTTCCTCCGTCGTGCGGCTTACCGCCTGGATTTGTTGTTGCCTTCAAAGAAAAATTTCACAAAGATGGTAAGTCGGAATTACATGTATTATTAAATAATTGCAGATTATTTATAAAAGAAAATTTGCGGTTTGAATTTATAGGATATTATTTTCATCACAATTACTAAAAATATTTTAAAAACTGATCTATGTGGATGAATTAATATTTACTATACATCCAAAAAATTTAAAAAGTTTAAATTTAAATGCAATTAAAAAAAAATATTTTAGTAACTACAGGTTCTCGAGTTAGCCTCGTACCGGTAGGCGAAGTGTAGGGCCCGACTAGGTGGAGTGACGACCTGGTAAATCATGCAGGAAGTCGATGGATGCAGGTGGCTCAGGACCGTGCTTTGTGGCATTCCTTGGGAGAGGCCTATGTTCAGCGGTAGACTTGTGAGGGGATGTAATGATAATGATGATGATACATTTAAGCTTAATGGACCATTAAGTTTATGGAAAAAAATTAATAGTAACGATTTAAGTGGTGGAGTGATATAGATATACCTTTGATTGACTCCTTCGTTTAGATAGCAACTGGTAGTCATGATATTCCGTGTTGTAAATTTTCGATTGTATAATCCGTAGTTTCATTTGTCATTTAATCTATTTAAATAATAATATAATGTCCTTTAGACCGAATTTCGGTAACAGTGACAAGTCTCAAGGGAGACTAGCCATCTACGCAGAACACGATTTTATTGCCAGACTATGTGCGCAAGCACAAGTGGACTCTATATTCCCTCACTCTCATAGTCCGATGGAACGGTAATCCGGCACGACCGGAGAGAGATCAGGCGCTGGATCAACGGTTTACGAGCTTTTCGAGGCACCCACCTAAACTACGTTAGTAGTGTTTCACCCCCGACGTGAAACACCGCTAACTGACTCCGGGTTGCCTGTTTTTTTTTTGATTGACTCAATATTTGAACCCGGAACTCATGATGTGATAGATCAACGAGGCAGTCACAAAACTACAAAAAATGTTCAGAAATAAGTTGTGTTTGTATGCGGTGCGTAGCGGCGGGCGGGTACTACTTGTGCGCGTCGCCGGGCGCGGGGGGCGCGGCGGGCGCGGGGGCCGCGGGCCGCAGCGCCGGCTTCCTGTCGTCGCTGACGGGCCGGCCGAGGCGTCGTCGCCAGCCGCCGCAACCGCACCACTACTCCGTAAGTACTCCACACTGTACGTGCTAGAGCCACGCTACACATACATTACAGTTGTAGCACGAATGGACTGGGGAAGGATCTCACAGAATACCAACGTAAAGTAGCAGCTCAATGTTGCTGTGTTTCGTATGGTGTGTGTATAGAAGCGTCCGCAAATGTTTTTTACTAAAAACGAAGCATTCCATCTTAATCGAGGATAAATGTAGATATTTATAGGCCATGTAGATATATATGACATAGCATTGCACAATAACCTGCTTGACGACTGACATAGGTAAGAGAGTAATACCTACAGACATCTTGGCGTAAAAAAAGTCCTATTATGCAGTAACTTCCTGCTACTTTCATATCATCGTCAATATTATTACAGCCTATTACAAGACCGTTGCTTAACACAGGACTAACTCTAAACCGCGAGACACCTATACAACACAACAAATACTGTCATTTAAAATAACAACCTTTATAGACCCTTTTTACTTGTTAACGGTATACCACCCTATATACTCCTCAGGGATGACAACACAAAATGTAGAATTTTGATATTGAAGGGTAAATGTCACCTACATTTACCCTTCAATATCAAAATTCTATGGGTCAGAGCGCCCAGTTATTATCAGGTGGCCTGTGTGCTTATTATTTGTCATAGTTTATCATAATCACCATTGCAGCAAGTACACTGCTGTACATGGACCTCTTCCATAAATTACCACAAAACATGGTCTTAAGTTCCTACATCCATCAACTTCTCATCTTTTAGGTAACTTGCCCAACTGCAATACCATCTCGAGACGGCGAAGCCGGCCTTGCTCTTTCTGACCGAGACGCTCACCACACCGAATGGCTCGGTTCACGTTTAACCGATCATACGGGGAGATTATTCATAATTTTGCCTTGGCGTATGGTCTGACACAACTGGTTACTTTGTCTACGCGGATTCCAAATGTGGAGGATAATGCGCCACTCTCATCCGGACAGATATCAAGTCTCCATCGACGCCCCTCTTGGCTCCTTGGACCATTGTCTAGTCCGGAGTGTGTCAAATAGCATCACGCTATAAGTAGGAGTGCTACCGGGCCTGGGCTGACGCATCAATGTCCCGGGATATAAACACCACCGCCCTTAAAAATTTAAAGTGTAATTCCACCTCCAAGTCTTTTAAAAAAGTCCTTGCCATGGCAAAGTCAGAGCAGATAGGCAGAATAGGCGAAAATTAGTTCGCCTTCCTTCGGGAACCCGTGCATTCTGATCTCTCGCCAAGGCTGTCCAAGAACACTTCTGTCAGCCATCTCTTACATCTCTGCACAGGAAGACGACTTTCTAGCCCATGCCGCACAGGAGAAAACCGATCTGCTAGGCTCTTTCTTTACATCCAACTCGACTCTCGATGACGGGAGGAACACACCGCCGACCAGCCCGCGGTGTTAGTGTTCCATGCCGGATGTGCGATTCACACAGCGCTCGGTTTGTAAAGCACACCTCTCCTTGGACATTCACAAGTTGAATGGGCCAAACGGAATCCCCCCAATTGTGCTGAGCACGAGTGCTCCAGAGTTGGAACTGGTTCTAATTGCGTCTTTTCCGGTATTCCTACTCTCTAGGCGTAGTCCCTAAATCATGGAAGATGGCTTTCGTCCACCCGATCCCTACAAAAAGCTACCGCTCAGACCCGTCTAATTACTGCGAAGAGATGTTGCATCCCTTTGCATTTTATTTCGCATTTACCACGGGGAGTGAGTGCTCTGAGGAATTGTTCGGATTCCAGCCACCAAATTTCACGAACACACATCGTGGCAAAACTTCCGATACCATCTACACAATCTAGATGCTTGGTGGTCCACCACTGTACGTTTCACTAGGAGTTTACTTACGACCTCTCTGTGGAATAGTTTACCACCGGCAATTTTTCCGGACCGATACGACTTAGGGACGTTCAAGAGAGAAAAGAGAGAAGCTTTTAGAAAAGAGCTTACTCCTTTCTAAAAGGCTGGCAACGCACCTACAATTCCATTGGAATTGTTCATGGGCGGCGGTAGTCACTTCCATCAGGTGAGCCGTAAGCTCCTATAAAATTGCTGCATTTGCCATTATGAGGCTGCCTTGAAACCTATCTGCCTCATTTCCATTTAATTCGCTTGTTTTTTCTGTAGATTTCCATGTTATCATTTCATAAGCACATTTAAATTAGCTCGCACCAATCAAAATTCGTACAATACAATTGATGCAGTATGTTTATTTTATATTTTTAATATTTGATCATTTATCCACGACTGCATATAAAAGTCCGCTACTGAACATGGGCCTACCTCATAGATTAATTACCTCATTTAGATTTTGCACACTTTGCAGGTGTATTTGCTACCGCGGTTTTTTTATTACTTTTAGTTGTTATCAGAATGATGTTGCTGCCCATTTCCTGTTTCACTTTACCTCTGTCGCCTCTTACTACACCTACGAGGGGTTATGGGGCAGGGGCTATTCTTACACCGCATGAATTTAATTACGTTAATCTTAAATTTATTGAAGATTTAAAGGTAAATGAGGCTCTAAAATAAGTAATATTTTATCTGCGACAATCTAAAAAGCCCGATTTGACGTTTCTCATTATACATGCTGCCATAACTTTGTATGAACGTCGACGTAAGAAATGGAAAAATCAAATTCACAATTCCAAATAATTATTGGTAATTCGACAATGAGTATTATTCGTAAGCACCAAGTTTCACTTTATATTCGAAAAATGCTCTCAAAAACACGAATTAATCGTTCATTAATATTCCCACAGGACGTTATTACAATGGCATGTCTGTTATATCTTTGGGTTCGTTGCCGTAGTGTTGTGACCGTTATAAACCATTTTTTGACCAAATAAAATCGATGTTCTGAAAAATCGATACTTTTACATTTAGAAAAGAGAGAAACGTATTATTTAATGTTTAAAGAAACAAAATCTGACCATATATATTTCTAGCTTTATTTTGATATTTAATATGTTAATATTAGAAATAGTTTGATTTTGAAAAAATGTATTTTAACCTCCATTTTTTCTCTCTACGCATTGATTCGTCAATGCTTGGCGCGGTCTCTCGTTATCTTAGAAGTTTTTGTGTTATTGGTTATTATTATATTTTCTGACTCGGCTACCACTCTTGTACTGTTTTTGCTATATTCGTTGACCTTGGCTTGCTAATTCCGGACTTTGATTACGCATTACGTGATTTTGGTGTTATCGTGTGAACTAGACACCATGTATAAAAGAGGCCGTACTCTTAATAGCCAGTCTTGTGACTTGGTTTTGAAGTGCACGAGTACTTTGAACGGGAGTCAGCAAATAGAGGGCTTCTTTTAGAAGTTACCCAAGTACAAGAACGAGCCGCACAAGCGCTTGGAATTGGCATAAAATCTGTCCGAAATTTTCTAAAGGAAAATTACGAGAATTTTGGCTGTGAAGATAATGTACTACACACACCCGAAAAGCGAAAAAAACAAAAACCTGTGACAGGTATCGATAATTTTGATGCTGATGCTATTAGATCCCATGTTTACGGCTATTACACAAGATAAGAATACCCCACCGTTAATAAATTACTTTATCCCTTAAATCTGCAAACTTATATGATGGCAATGCAACCTCTATAAAAACAATTCTAAAAATATTGGGTTTTCATACAATGCAAAGTATTTTTATAGCTGACAAATCGGGTTTCTTAGATTGTCACGAGTATAGTGAATGCTAGGTGCGAATCTCAAAGAGTAATGATGCGACCGGCCCGTATGTACAGTCGATGACGTCATAACCGGACGCGTTCAAGTACAGTTATTAACAGAATTATTTTCCTTTGGGCAGCAGGGCGGGCCGGACTCGTCGTCGAACACATCGTCGTGCAACAGCTCGACGCCGTCGTCGCCGGCGCTGGCCGCGCCCGCCACGCCGCTGCAGCACCACGCCCACCAGCCCGCACACCAGCCCACGCACCAACCCCACCAGCCTCTACACAACAAGCAGCAGTTCCACTTCCCAGGTGAGTACTGCTAACAGTCGAGATTATCTTCTCGAAAAGTCCAAAATTCACTAATACCAATATTAAACGCAATAAAATCCGTAAAAAAAAAACGGTGTAATTATTGTGCAGTATTTGTTGAAATAAACAAAATATTTATTGTACACACTTTATCTTCTCCTAATTTTGTTTATCAAATACAGAAAAATAACTGTCTTTTAAAAAATAAAATTATAAGTTCTTACATAAAGATGTTTATGTCCATACAAAAAAGTCATAAGTATTACCACAATATACATAACATAATATGTAGAATGTCTATTGGATTTATTGCATAGATAATACATTAACATCCTAAATAATTATGGTCCATTGAGCCTGATATAATGACATTTTGTTCGATACACTGCTGTTCGTTATTTCAGTAGTCAATTGTACAATTTTTTTTATAGAATACTAGCTGACCCGGCGATCTTCGTACCGCCTAACAGCCGATTCTTTAATTTTTTTTAATACTTATTCTGCTATTCGGGACACCGGGTCAGCTAGTAAGATAAAAAAAAGAAAAAAGAAAGTTGATAAATCAACAATTACATTATGTCAAAAACGAAAAATTATAAACTTAAAATTATTTTAATAGTCACTAAAAATCACAATGAAAATTACAATTTCTGATTTCTTATTATGATACCTACACAAATATTGACATTAATATTTATACGATACTAACGTCATTCAATTATTTTGCTTACCCGGAACCCCACCACTAACAAGTATTATTACGAATCTTTTGTATGGGAATATAGAAAAGTGTTGTTTTTACACTTTTTCAGGAAAAGTTTTAAAATTTTCTCTCCGTAAGAACCATCTTCGTACTTCAAGGAATATTATAAAAAAAGAATTAGCGAAATCGGTTCAGCGGCTCTCGAGATTTGCGCTTAGCAACACATTCAGTGATTCATTTTTATATTATAGATGGGTGACAAACGGGCACACAGTCCGCCTGATGGATGCTGAGGCCCATAAACATCTACATTTATCCTTGATTAAAAGTCAAAATACAGATACACTGTCACCCTTGAGGACCAAGAAGGAATGTTTCCAGTAAAAAGGGTCTCCGGTTCTCTACACTAACCATACGAAACACACTAGCATTAAGCTGCTATTTTACACTGGTATTCTGTGAAAGCGTAGTCCTACCTCGCTCGAGTCGACCCATTCGTCGTGATTCAACCATAATATAGCTGCAGCATGGCTCTCCCACGTTGAAATTAGGTATAATAGTAGTAAAATATTAATCGCAAATGACTTACAATTCCAAAATGATAGACCATTGGTTTATTTTTTAACAGAAGTAAAGCCGCCAGTGTCAAGTCCGAACCACAACTCTGCGGTGCAATCGCCGGCGAGGCCTTCGCCCAATCACAAAGAAGATCTCACCTCTAGTATTAAAAACGGTAAGTTAATAACAAATTCTTCTCGTATTTTATGTCGTAGTTGCCAGGCCTGTTAGTCGGGTTGGCAACCATAGTTTTTACTATTTTTGAATTGTTATCAGAAAGGTACTACACCCCATCTCCTGTTTCATTTACCCTTCTATAAATAATAAATCAAATCAAAAATATTTATTTCATCAAAGAAATATACATAAATAAATATAATCTCTCTTTAAAACTTTCCTCCTACATGAGGTTTTTCTCCTTTATCGTGGAGATGGTTTACTTTGTAGGCCATACAACGACCAAGCGCTTTTAGTCACTGTGCTACGGAGCTGTCAAGTGTCGTGTTAAATAGTACTTGTATGTGTGTGTGTGTGCGTGTGTACTGTGCATAGAGACAGGATAGGGTACAAACACAAGTACAGCTCAAAGAGAGTATAAAAGTTGTGAAACGAATGTACTTGTGCAGAGCTACGGCAGGGCCTTGCGGGACAGTGGGCGCGATCGCTTGCCAGCGCACTTTACTGCGTCTGTATCAAAAACGTGTTTTAAAGTATTTACTAATTTTTAGTGTCGTTTGCGTTAAATATACCTATAATTGTGAGTTACTGTTATAGTTATACGAGTTCAAATCACTGCTACGATTGTGTATCCGTCTTTTTTTTTATTTTTGATAAAATCCGTACACTAAGTAATTTTAATTGAACAATCGAAAAAGAAAGTGTCACGAGAATATTTAGCAATGCAACACCTGCAAATATATTGTTTCTTGCAGTAATATACGTTTTTCTCTTTTTATTATACGTACGTTATTTTTTTGTTGTAATTGTCTTACGCGGTAGAGCTAGGCTGCAGCTATATTATGATTTTAGCAGGTATGGGTCGGCTCGTCCGGGAAAGGACCAAGCTCTCGTAGAATACCAGCGTAAATAGCAGCCTAATACTGCTATATTTCATATGGTAAGTATAGAGAACCGGAGACCGTTATTACTGGAAATATGGCATTCCATCTTAGTTCTCAAGGGTGAGAACGCATTTTGATTCTTAATTGAAGATAGTGTAAATGTATATGGGCCACAGCATCCACTTACCGTCAAGTGGAATGTGTTTTTTTTTTATAGGATGAGGGTGACAAACGAGCACACAGTCCACCTGATGGTAAGTGGTTGCTGCGGCCCATAGACATCTACATCTATCCATTGTTACAAATCAAAATGTAGATGCGTTGTCACCCGTGAGGACTAAGATGGAATGCCTCATTTCCAGTAAAAAGGGCCTCCGGCCACCTGCACTCACCAAGCGAAACGCAGAGGTAAACCTCTACTTCACGCTGGTTTTCTGTGAGGTCGTGGTACCACCCCGGTTCGAGCCGGCCCATCCATGCGACAGCAAAAGCTGCCGCGTGGCTCTACCACTGTTAAAATTGTTGTGCTCGTTTGGCACCTATATTCTATTAAAAAAAAAATTCTTGTTCAATAAATGTTTTTAACCTATAAGTATGTCCATAATGTTGTTCAATTATCTACTATTTATTCCATCCCGGCTAAAAGCACTCCCCAAGTAATTTGCACAATTACTTTCAAAGAAATTACTTTAATCAGTCGAACACAATAAAAGCCTCTTGTCAAGAACTTAAACCCTAGACAACCTAATCCGAGGCGGTTTTCACGAAACACAATTCCGTAGCGAAATAACACGCACTAAATCTAACTATCTGGACCCTACACCGGTCGCGTGAACTTCGGCAGCGATAACCGAACCGCATCGCGGCCAGCGAGCCACTCTCCTCTCGTCCACGAGCGTCACACACTGGGAAGCTGCCTACCGATATCCCCTCCCCGCGATACGCGTGATACCCGGTACCATCGGGCGATTCACGAAGTCGAACGTGATTGGATGTCGTACAAATTACCTTTTTTGGACCTAAACACATAATATGTGTACCTACCTTACTTAAACCTTAATTTATATATTATATAAATTAAGGTTTAAGTAAGGTAGGTAAGGGTAGGAGTATAAATAAATAAATGTTAATAAATGATTATAAATAATACCATAGAAAATTATTTTTTAGTATTTTGTGAAAACTATATATTGCCACAAAATGGGAAAAAATTAAGTATTTGCGCAGGGAGCGAAATACCCAGACGGGCGGCGGCTTCGCCTGATTTTAAAGGAATTTCTTAATTATACTGTCGAAAGTGTGGTAGTATCTGTGCGGTTAAAGAATGGGATTGAAAATGGCGTCGCCTCTATTCATCTTTTTGCTCGCACACTGTCACTAGATAGAAAGATACTATGTTGCTATATTATGCGCTTTTCGTATGTTCTATAACTTCAGTCCAACGAGTAATTGGAATCTATGATAACAAAATACCACAAACTATTAAAAAAAATCAGTTCGGTTTTGCTAATTTGTGAGCTACGACGCGTTTTGACAGTTTTCTTTATAATTATTGTTGATTTTGTTTGTTAATATTTTTGTATAAGATATTTACATGCTATTGAGACATGAGTGACCATTTTTAAACTTTTCGTTTGTCTGTCTGTCTGTCCGAGCTAATCTTCGACATTGCTGAATCGACTGTAATAAAACTTTACTAAAAAATAGAGAGTAATAGCAGGAGTGATCTAGACTAAATTTTGTCCGTAAAATTTAACACGTTTACAAAATTAAAAATGTTGATAAGATAAAATTTAAATGGTATTTAATGTTTATCTTAAGTCTAAATAACGCCATATTAATATATCCCAACCATTCGAAGCCAACGCGTGTCGCTAGTAATAAATGTTATTTTAAAATTTATGTACCTGTGGCGGGTGGAAGGAAAAGGGGAGATCTTCCTCCGGGCAAGGTGTTCTGCCTGGGGAGCGGCCAATGCTCCGAGTGGTAGTTTTTTTTTGCGTCCAGATGCAATGGAAAGGGCTACCTTCCGGGAAGCGAGGAAGGGAGGTGGTGAATGCTCTAAGCATACCACGACAGCCGGCTGCCGTGGTTATGTGGGACTCACTGCGAAACCTAATTGCGTACCCACTAAAAACCACCTGTGAGACTGGCATTGGCTTTTGTGGCCTTTCTGACGAATCGGAAGTGACCCTCTTTAGGGAAAAGGGGGCAACAGACACAACACATGTCAAATAACTAACTAATAAACTTTTCGTGTTCAGTATGTATTTTGAAGAACGATAATTAATTGAGGAATTGTTGTTGAGGCATCCAAAGACAGTACAGTATGTGTTATGTGCTTTCGACATATTTGTTAAGTATAAGCACAATTTAAATAGGTGCGGCACGCGAAATATAACGAGACTCAAACAAAAGTGATTGCGGAGCGATGGGCGACCCCGACTCGGGCCGATCTTCCCGACTTAGCAAGTACGATTGTGTGCGGCTCGTGCGTACGAGTCCGTACTGGTACGTGATAGGCACGCACGCATATTAGCGGTGTTCGGTACATCTCTTAGAAGATAGTGTACTATTGTGTTTTTACTGTGTGGGTACGGAGTATACAAGTGAGTTGTGGTGTGCAGAGCGGTGCTGCCTGGTGTCGCTGAGCGGGTCGGGCTCCACCGACAGCGGCGGCGCGCGCGGCGACTCGCTCGACCTGGCCGCGCACGACGCGCCCGACGCGCGCTGGCCGCGCCAGAACTCCGTGAGTTGCTCGCCTCGCCGCGCACGCACGCACCGCGCACTCGCACACTTGCTCGCACTCGCGCACTTACACTCACATACTACCACACTTACATACTCGCACACTTATACTCACATACTACCACACTTACATACTCGCACACTTATACTCACATACTACCACACTTACATACTCGCACACTTATACTCACATACTACCACACTTACATACTCGCACACTTATACTCACATACTACCACACTTACATACTCGCACACTTATACTCACATACTACCACACTTATATACTCGCACACTTATACTCACATACTCCCACACTTACATACTCGCACGCTTATACTCACATACTCGCATACTTATACACTTCGTATTTTATAAATGGTAGAGCCATGCCACGGCTACATATATGGCTCGGCCAGGGTAAGACCACGCCCACACAGGATACCAGAGTAAAATATCAGCTAAATGCTACTGTGTATCGTATGGTGAGTGTAGAGAACCGGAGATGTTTTTTACTGGAAAACGAGACATTCCATTTTAGTCCTCAGGTGTGACAACGCAACTGCTTCGATTCTTATTTGAGTGTTAGGCCCGCCACATACATACGGAATTCCGTTTCGAGATTCCGTTTCGGAATTTCGAACGGTCGGCCACACAAACGGAATCCCGTTTTGCTCGCAAAATATCGAACGGAAAACTACCGTACGTGTGTGGCGGGTCATTGATTTTATATGGACTAGCTGCGTTCGGGATTCCGAATCGGAATATCGAAACGGAATTCCGTATGTATGTGGCCGGCCTTAATGTAGATGGCCACATCATCAACTTACCATTAGATGGACTGTGTGACAATTTATCACCCTTATCCTATAAAAACACACATACTCGCACACTCATACTCATATACTCGCACACATACTACCGCGTACTTACTCTCACACTCACACTCGGTCCGTCACACACATACTCTCGCAGACTTTCACATCATCTCACTCGCACATTTTCGCCTTGCACACTCTCACACTTACTCTCAATACATTTAACTAAACGCCGCGGTGTGTTAATTTAATCTATCGATTAATTATCTCGTTATATCATTAACAGTACATTGCCTGATTGGTTATTCTTAGATTAATTATTAAAACTTAGCAAAATTCGGCACATCAATTATTCTTTTACGGTGTTTCATTTAATAAATTTACAAAGATTTTTTTCCAAAAGGATAAACATTAAACAGTTTTTCTGCAGATATTCGGCCCCCTGACTCTGAAAGTGAAAACAGTTTTTATCTATCAGCTTTTGTTTTCGAGATTTGACATAATTTGTGTACATAATATTATGTCAATTCTCGAAAAGAGTTGAGTCGAAAAACACTTAAAAACATGCCACAAAAATAAATTTAATTTCCAAAAGTAGCTAAAATGATATTTTTAATCATTTCTTGAATGAGATACTTGAGGCAGGTCTATTCATCGCTATGCGGATGACAGCACTAGTGATGCTTTATACACCGGCCGTGCCAATATTTCTCGGGAAAACGTCGCCTAGTACCGATACAAACTTGTGTCTGAAGTCGAGACTTTGTTGAACAAAGTCTACGACTGGGGGCGACTAAATCTAGTCCAGTTCAATCCCCAGAAGACACAAATTTGCGCGTTTACCGCTAAAATGAACAAATAAAAAAAAATCTCCGGTGGTAGTCGATTCCATAAGGAAGTTGTGCGAGGAAGAAAACTTCTTTTAAATCGCACAGTGGTGGACCGCACGTCGTCCAGATGGTATGATGGTAGGTTTTGTCGCGATGTGCGATAGTGAAATTGTGCGGCTGGTATTAGTCCGAACAATTCCTCAGAGCACTCGTCGTGGTAAATGCGACAAAATACGCAAAGAGATGCAACATCTCTTCGCATTGCCAGTGAGTCAAGTCGATCGGAAAGAGCGGTCAAATGGCAGGAGCTGGCACTGGGGAGCCCCAGCCCAGAGATGGGAACAGTATTTCATGTGCGGCCGACCTTGCGCCACCATGTAAAGTTGCAGGCGGTGTCCGGCATGAAATACTGTCCCACTCTACTGAGCACGCCAAACTTTTTAGAGGCCAATTTGGCCTTCACTTCCAAGTGACCACGAAACTGAACGTCACTCAATATGTCGACACCGAGGATTCAGATACTGGCTGAGGCAACAAGGGGGGTGCCTTGAAACTGAGGAGATACGACGAAGGGTTTTTTTTTTATCGGTAAACACGCAAACTTGTGTCTTCTGGGGATTGAACTGGACTAGATTTAGTCGCCCCAGTCCGAGACTTTGTTCAACAAAATCTCGACTTCAGACACAAGTTTGTCCCGGTACTCGGCGACGTTTTCCTGAGAAATATTGGCACGACCGGTGTGTGTATAAAGCATCACCAATGCTGTCATCCGCATAGCAATGAATGTTACCGGCTTGCATCATGTGCAGAAGAAACAGCGTTGGCGATACCATGCAGCCTTGTGGACCATCAGCGTTAATGGGCTTGTAATCGGAGAGTGCACTGTTTACTACGACCTTGATGCTCCGATCTGCAAGAAAACTGGTGATCCAATTGCACAATTTCTCGGGAAGCCCATAGGAAAGAAGCTTCGTAAGAAGCGCTTTGTGCCAAACCGGATCGAAGGCCTTCGTTATGTCCAAACTAACGGCCAAAGCCTCCCCCTTGGACTCTACTGCCTCCGCCCATTTATGAGTTAGGTAACCCAGAAGATCACCAGCCGAGCGACCGCGACGGAAACCGTACTGACGGTCGCTAATCAGCTGGTGATCCTCAAGGTACGGCATGATCTAGCTGTTAATAATGGACTCCATTATTTTAGAGATCAAGGAGGTGATGGCGATAGGCTTATAGTTGGGATCAGAGCGGTTACCTTTTTTAGTAGATCGGATGAACGAAAGCTGTGTTCCATGATTTCGGGACTACGCGTAGGGAGTACGAGTACCGGAAAAGACGCGTTAAAACGGGTGTCAACTCTGGAGCACACGTCTTCAGCACAATAGGAGGGACGTCATCAGGCCCACTCGACTTGTTGACGTCCAGGGAGAGAAGGGCTCTGCGCACTGAGCGTTGAGTAAACAGCACTTCCTGCATGGAGCACTTACACCGCGGGATGGTCGGCTGTGTGTTCCTCCCGTCATCAAGAGTCGAGTTGGACCCAAAGAGAGAGTCCAGCAGATCGGCTTTATCCTTTGCGGCAAAGGCCAGTGAATCGTCCTCCCTGTGCAGAGATGGGAGAGATGGCTGACAGAAGTTCCCTTGGACAGCCTTGGTGAGAGACCAGAATGCATATGTTACCGAAAGAAGACGAACTAGTTTCTTGCTAATTCTGCCGATGTGCTCTGACTTTGCCTTGACAATGACACTTGAAGGACCTAGAGGCGGAATTATACTTCTTTTTAAGAGCACTGGTATTTGCATCGCGAGACGTCGATGCGTGAGCCCAGGTCTGGTAGCACTCTTGCTTATGGAGTAATGCAATTTTGCAGGAGCTACCAAACCATGGCTGGGTTCTGCCTCCGATAGGTACCACAGATGATAGAATAAAAAGTTCCATTCCCTGTAGCACCACATCAGCGACAGAATCAGCAACAACGCTGCGATCATCCGACGAGAAACAAACCCGCCTCCAAGGGTAGGATGCAAAAAAAGATTGCATCCCGTCCCAATCGGCTGACCTATAATGCCAAACACGGTGGCAACCTGCAGATCGCAACCGCAATGGGAGCGTGAGTGGCACCGTACTCCGGATCAGACAATGGTCCGAGGAGCCAAGAGGGGCACCGACGGAGACCTGATATCCGTTCGGATGAGAGGTCAGCAGAAGGTCCAACAGGGAAGGTGTATGATCCTCCACATCTGGAATCCGCGTAGGCGAAGTAACCATATGCCAAGGCAAAATCATAAACAGATCTCCCCGCATGATCGGTTAAACGTGAACCGAGCCATTCGGCGTGGTGGGCGTTAAAATCGCCACGGATCACGATCTCTGCGGATGGCACCTGTTGTAGCAAGGAATCTGTAGCCTTTCTGTAGTACGTGGTCGATAAGTCGGTCTGTTTCGGCATTACCGCTATGGGACCTATAGAGGCACCCGTAGACGCGCGGATGGTCGTCGCTGTCTATGCGCAACCATAAGATGGACCGGTCTACAGACCGTACAGAAGGTACACCTTCAAGGCTGCCGAGGCGTCGAAAACGAACTCTCTTAACGTATACGCAAATTCCAGCCCGGGGCACAAAAGAGTGTTCTAATTTGTACCTCGGGTAGGAGAGATACGAAGTATCAGCCGAGGAGGACACCTGTTTCTTGGTTAGAAAGAGCAAGGCCGGCTTTGCCGTCTCCAGATGGTAGTGAATGCCCACGCTCGGGAAGAGTAGGGTAGCTTGGGCGTGGATGCTCAGCGAGGGATTCTCCGTCACCGGGGGTGCTGGTACCTTCCTGGGGTAGTGTTTTATTTAACTCCGCTACCATGTTAAGGGGGGGGGGGGGATTGGGCCTCCGGCCACCTACACCTACCAGACGAAATGCAGAAGCAGACCTTCTACACACTTCACGCTGGTCAGAAGACCAACGTGATGCGAATGAGGTCATGGTACCATCACGGTTCGAGCCGGCTCATACGTCCAAAAGCAAAGGCTGTCGCGTGGCTCTACCACAGTTATACTTGTGTAGTACGCGTTTTAGTTCTTTGAAAATGATTTTTACTTTATTTCTTATTCTTCAAAGCCGCCAACAAATTCCGGTTTTTTTTGTTATTTATGTTTTATAAGAATGTTTTGCATATTGTAAGTGCCCTCAATGTAATAAAACACAAACATTTATAAAAATTAATTCACTTTATTATTTTAAAGAGCCTACTAATATGTCCCCTTTGTGGTAAAACTGGCCTTAATCATCACGCATTGACGTCGCAATATCAGATGTAACAAGGATGACACTGAAAGTTTTTAGAACTGGCCACTTTTAAACGA